CCTGGAGCGTTATTGTAATGGACAAAAGTCCCATTTTTGCAGTGAAGGCAGCTGTCATTTACAAAAGCCAGCTGGTCTGAGTAGAAACCTCCTGGAAGAAGAAAGGATAAAAAAATGGATCACTACCAAAGAAAATTAAGAAGTAAAAATAATATAAAAGAAAACTTACTGGGATTTAATGGAAACCTAAACTCTCAGAAATATTGAATTGACTTATGACTGCATAAATTTTATCATCTGCCCCTTGAAAGAAAAAATTGAGCTCATGCAGACCTTGCAATTAAAGTTTAATTTATTACACACCTTTTGAGATGTATAGTTTTTGTTTTCTTTTTCCCGGGAGTTTAGGTCCTTTTACCGAGCCATTAAGAAAAGTATTGTGTCCAGTAATAAAATGTATCTACCGAACATCAGCTTTTGTCTAACATGTAAACTTCACACAGCCAAAAGGAGAAAGTATTCGGGTTAATATTGTTATGGGTGCAGGTGTCGCCGAGGCCTTGAAACTCTGAATCTGTTCGAAAGCGAATCCGTCTATTTCACTACCTTGTGTAGACGAAAAACTTGATAACTTTGTGTAAAGCTCAATTAATATAACTCCATGTTCAAGGCTAAATATATCTCCTTTCTTCACTTAGCTAGCCACGTGGGGTGGCAAAAAGAAAAAGAAATTCGACGAGCGGCTTGACTTGACAATGACGACAGTCCGACGAAATGGACAATGTGTGTAAACCAAAAAAAAATACGAATATATCTCACTTGTGTTTTTATCTGCCTTGTTTCCCTTTTCACACAAGAAAGTATACTTTTTGGATTTGACATTTTACAACTGGATTTTAAAACAAGTAGGCAGGTAGGCACATTATCACTCTTAAGTCATTTTTTGTTTTTTTGTGCGTTCGTTTTCTTGTTTGTTCGTTTTTTTTTTTTTAAGAAAAACCTTACTATATCTTTGCTGACGTTATTGTTAACAAGCAACTATAGGCTCGAGAGTCGGAGTAACTCAGCGTCGAAATTCAAAATGGCCGTCCTGTGATGTTTTAATCGTTAATTGCACAATTCTTTCAATCAGAAGGAAAAACAGCATTTGACTGCTACAATTCCTAGGAATAAATTCAATTCTCTCGCCTTGAGGCCGCGTCGCTGTTAGTAACATCTCTCTTGTACCGAAATCCCCGGCAAAGATTACAGGCGTTTGCGGACTAAAACATTTGAAGGATTCAGAAACACTTTTTATCGACCCTGACAACACATTTTTACTACTGTAACACTCATTTTGATGGAAAACGACAGGATCTTTCAACATTTAATAGTGGTAACATTGGTTTCTCTCTTTTAAAACATCTAATTTCTCTTTCTTCAGGTTATCGCTTTTCTTCTGTTGCGGCGTAGCAATTGAAATTCAATCTTCTCCACCTCTTTAGGCCAGCTGACTAGTCTTGCTACCATTAATAAGTTCGTTCAGTCCATCCAAATATTTTGTCTGCTAAAGTTCTCCAAATCTAATTCTTAACACGTTAACGTATAAACCAAAGTTTTTAAAAGAAATTTCTCCTTGCTCCCCTGACTCGTGGTCCCGACGGTGTCCGCTCTAACGGGACTTGACCCCAATGAAAATGTGAGTACTTGACGTTTTTTCCCTTTTTACCCCCACTTTCTCCACGAGGGCAAAAATGAATTTATGGGGGGAATCTTCGTTTGATCAAGCTTAAGAAGAAGTGCAAATTTTTTTCTTTTATTTACTATTTTTTCCGTTTTTGTGTGTGTGTGTGTGTTTTGTGTAGCTGTGTGTCGTGTGTGTACCTGACTAACTGAATAAAATCATTTATAAATAACCTACGTAAGGCTGCCCTATCTTTTTAGCGCTCAACGGTTATTATGGGCAGCCTATACTCTCTATATATTTAATAGCATTTTTTATACAATGTAAATCAATGTAGAATACAAAATAAAGTTGTTGTTGTTGTAAATAGCACCATCAACGAAATTGGATTCTAAGGACGAGAAAAATGTATCTAATGGTGAAAAATGTCAACTTTTACACTAATAACGTCATAAAGTCATAAATGACATTTCATCACGTTAATCTGTTAAGCTGAAGAGGTACTAAAACTATGCGAAGTTTTTTCGCGATAGCGTGAGCCTGTCTTGTTCTTTTTCTTTTTAGTGAGACAAGCAGCTAAAAATACCGTACAGAGATAACGCACTTTAGTTTAGGCTACTGAAGCCTATTCACATGGTACAATCAAAGCAATTGAACGTTTGCTTCATATTAGCTGGGGATTCGAGCAGGATTTTAGATTCATTTTGTAACTTACAAGTAAACAGTAATCAGGTAATTTAAAAAGATGGCGGCCTCAGTTATCGTGGATAAAAAGCAGTTCCAATACTAATACCTGAAACTGTTACTGTATTTATAATTACTAAACATTATGATTATCCTATTTTAGTGGATCAACATCGTCACTGTTAGACTACCGGAACTGGATTTCTTTCCTGATACTTGCTTTCCAATCAGACCAAAAGAAATAGCGAGGACTGTTCTTTAGTTAAAAAAATTGTAGACATCTGAAAGATCTTTCTGCTTTAAGTATTCTATTAAGAAAGAAAAACACTTCATCTGATACTCTATAAAGTTCACGTTAAACAACGAGAGCAAATTGTCCATATCAAGGGAATCTCCACGATTTAAAGATGTATTGTCAGTTAGACTAAGAACTAATTTACCCGCTGGACACTCTATGCATTTATTGGCTTCAGAGGAGGCATTAACGAACCACCCCAGTGAACATGGAAGTAATTTGTATTTTCCAAGACTTTGATTGGCAAATCCAGATTGTTTGAAAGCTGGTAGTAGTTGGTCATTAATCCAAGACCATTCTGTGAAAGAGGAGACGTCGATATATTCAGAATCATCATGCCCTACGCCGCTAAAGTGAAAAATAAGAAAAAAAAAGACTAAGTAATCGCTATGTAGGGGCTAATGATGAAGGCAAAAATAGCTGCACATAATATTCATATTTCTGATATCTTTGTTATCATACTAATTCACTCACAGACGAACTGTGTAGTTGAATCTTCCATCCCAGAATGTCATAATCCCAATTTTTCCTTCTTCCAAACTTCTATTGAAAAAGAGCGGTAGAGTGACGATTAGAATCGCTAAGTTTGCAAACTGAAAAAATATGCAACTGATACAATCAGGTCCCGGCGCGCGGCGGAACTGTTGTGGAAGCTTTTACAGGTTTGTTTTCTGTTTTTGAATCCGCGAAAGTTATTGTGCTTTGCAAATTTTCTCTTAAATTTGGACCAGGGAAAAGGCGAATTTTACAGACTGACAGACACGTACACGTTTTTAGCATTTTTGTAAATAAACTGTCCAATTGTACTGTATTTGACGAGAGAAAACGGCAAAACAGCGAGGAAAAGGGAAAAAATACAAAGCAAAGTTTCGCCGCACATGTATTGTCTCTGTGCACCATTGATGAAGCGGGGAAAATCAACCGTTTGCCTAGGTGAGTCTAGGTAGCAGGAAACTACAGGCGTTCTTTTTTGTACAGGAAGTCAAAAGATTAACCTCTGCGCAGCTGTTTAGCTTGATAGTATCCCTTTTTTAACAAAAGAGCAACTGAAATCTTAATTTTTCCCTCTGAACAATAAAAGAGTTGAAAAATGTACTTCAGTAAATATTTGCTACATCGCAGTGATCCGCAGTATTAAACTCATCACTTTATGGCTTTTGACTCTTCACTTTTGTTACAAAACTAGACGAGATATTTGTATTGCTTTCAACCCGCCATTTAGTGATGACGAATGAACAAAAGATTTAGCGTCACAAAAAAATACGGCCCTCCCTTCCTAGCTCTCAATGTCCACCTTTGTGATCCAGTTTCGACTTTCTTTTCGCTCGTTTCGACTAGTTGAGATCGCGGAAATGGCCAGACGAACTGTAAAAAGGCGCTTTTTTCCTTACCGTCTCAATTTTTTTTTCAATTGTGAGTCTAAGACATTGTTGTGATATTCAACTACAAGTATAATTTACATATGAAACGTACTTACATTTTAGTCCTGAAATGTTCCTTAGTGCCGTGGAAAGATCTAAGGCTAGCTGTCTTTATGTTTGTTCGTATCATGTATCTTAAAGAAAAAGGAAGAAGCGTTGATTATAATAGATCACCGCATTTCCACCGTTTTGATTTGGTAGAATCTTACGTCAGGATCTCCAATGTAAAGTTTTCTTCTAAACAAATAATTTAATTTAATTTGAACTAGTGTCAGGGCAGCACCAAAAAAATCAAATGAAAAACATTTCACGCTAGAAAAAAAGGAGAGGAAGGATAGACTTAAAAGGGAGTGCGAAAATTTACTTCGCTTGCATTTGTTTTTTCAAGCCTGACGCATCTTCTTGTTGGCAACTTTGACAATTTCAATTATCAGTGGGAGAGATCCTTCTACGGGGAATAATAAAAGAACTTTAATTTGTCCCGTGTTGTGGTCATCAAAGTAGTAGTATCCTTTTATTTCGTCTGTTTAACTTAAAGTGTTCTCCAAAAGTCAGACCTGGCCGTTCGGACCATGGACAGACAGGCTATTTTGAAAATGAAATAGACTTTTTCCAAACTATTTCCTTCGTGCATGCTATTTAGGATTTGACTGATCTGGCTGGATAGTTTTGATTAAAAGTGAAATTCTCATTACGACGGGAATGGCCCGGCCGGTCAGTTAGGTGTAAAGTGCATATAGGGTCCCTTAGGTGTGGTTTAAGCACATGTTTTACTATTCCCTGTCTACAATGATAACAGAAATAATAGCAACATTATCAAATTAAAATACCAAAAAATAATTTTAAAAAGCGTAAAAATAGGACCATGGACAATGAAGGTTTTGATTGATGAAATGAATCTCTAAATCATGATCCACAACACTGTATTTTACAGATATACATGGTTTTTGTTTTGAGAGATTTCATTATTACCAAACTTTTATCTTTTCAAACCTGTTTAATCTTGAAAGTTCCCTGCTTTTATCAATTCATTCTCGGCCTTTTTTGCTTCTTCGCCTCCCTTATTTTATCGCTATTGTCTCTTTAGTGCATTTTTTGCCCTTGTTTTCGTCGGAGAAAGCGAGAGATGTCAACCTGTGCCACCTGTTGTTTATCATTTATTATAATAAAGTTCCGATACAACACGCAATTAGATTGGTTGAGAAAGCATCTTTTATGTGGAGAGTACCAGTTTACATGGGACTGTAAATTCGTGGGTAATGCGGTATTTACCATCTTGATTTAACCTTAGTTTGCACTTTTTGCATCATACTTGCACCGTCCGAGTACATAAATTTGGTGTAAATCAAATTTTTCTTGCAGTGTAAAAATGATTGTGATTGGCTAATTCAAGCCTGCTTTTTGAGAGTAGAACATGCTGACGACACTCTGGTTCCCTGTGAAAATAAAGTTTGTTTTAGAAAATAGAAAGCAATGCGTGGGGAATTTAACGGATTCTTTATCGTAAAGCAAATAAAGAAGCTTGCCTGTGTTCTATTCTGTTGTAAACCACTTAAGAAGCGGCTAGAGCACAAAAGAAGTAGGAC